TGTGGTGAGTTGGCCATGGTGAGTTGGCATTGATGAGTTGGCCATGGTGAATTGACCATGGGGAGTTGGCTGTGGGGAGTTGACCATGACGAATTGGCCATGGTGATTTGACTGTGATGAGTTGGTCATGCCAAGTTGGCTGTGATGAGTTGGCCATGATGTGTTGACCATGGCGAGTTGGCCGTGGGGAGTTGGCTGTGGCAAGTGGGCCGTGGGGAGTGGGACATGGTGAATTGTTATAAATCAAGTTGGTTTTACCAAAAATTGCACGTTTTTGGCAAACGAATCATCAAATGTGGTCAGGTGAATGCAGGATGCTGCAAACAACTGTAAACTTAGCCTAGTTGCCAAGCACCAAATTGTGTTTTAAATGTATCACACCAAGTGTCATCACCAAGTCTCTGTCCATCACTTACTACCTCCAACACCTGCTAAGTGCCCCTTCTGATGTTCCTGGTGCCAAGTAACCAACATGACTTTTAGATCCTATTATTGCTGGGTTCTTTTTTTCCCAGGGAAGCTGGACACTGCCAAAGAGACTTTGGCCTCCCCAAGAACTGCGTGGCTGATCCAGGAGAACGTTGGTGTGGCGTTCCAGTGGAGAACCTCTTTGCTTTCTACAAGATCAAATTAATTGCACAGAACCAGCAGCTGTGGACTGACTCCTCGGAGAAATGTGTCCATGGAATGAGCATTGGTAAGCCCAGGGGAAGGGGGAGAAATTGGGCTCACTTGGTACAGGTAGTCCTAGTAGACCCATGACTGGTCTTGGCCCTTATGATGACTCCTCCTCCTCCTCCTTCGATAACTTGTCCTTCTCCGCCTTCTATGCTTCTCCTCCTCCTCTTCCTCCCTCTCTTCTTCCTCCTTCCCATTCTTCTCCTTGTATGGTTTTTTCCTTCTGTGGTTCCTCCTCCTCCTTCTATAACTTCTCCTTTCCTTTCTCCTCCTCCTCCTCCTCCTCCTTCTTCTTCTTCTTCTTCTTCTTCTTCTTCTTCTTCTTCTTCTTCTTCTTCTTCTTCTTCTTCTTCTTCTTCTTCTTCTTCTTCTTCTTCTTCTTCTTCTTCTTCTTCCTCCTCCGCCTCCTCCTCCTCCTCCTCCTCCTCCTCCTATAATTTCTCCTTCTTCTCCTTCTTCTACTCTTCTTCTTCCTCCTCCTCCTCTCCTTCTTCTCTTTCTATGGCTCCTCCTCTGGCTCCTTCTCCATTGTAGCTCCTCGTCCCTTTCTCCTTCTCCTTCTTTGAATCTGCCATTTTAATGCTCACTCTGCCTGCTTATCAAATCAAGAATTTCTCAGGTGTGCCAGGCCAAAATATAAATCAAATGAATGGCAATTCTTCCGCTTCAGTTGCTGTACCCAGCAGGACAACCTGAATTATAGGTTGAAACAGAGCCAGTCCTCATAACCACAACTGAGCCAAAAATTTCTGTGGCTGAGCAAAGACAGTTGTTAAGTGAATTTTGCCCCCCCCCCATTTGATGTCCTTTCATGACAAACTTGTTAAGTGAATCACTGCAGTTGTTAGTAACACGGTCGTTAAGTGAATCTGGCTTCCCCGTTGACTTTGCTTGTCAGAAGGTCACAAAAATTGATCACATGACCCTGGAACACACACAACTGTCATAAATACGAGTCAGTTGCCCAGTGTTTGAATTTTGATCCCGAGACCACAGGGATGCTGCAACAGTCGTAAGTGTGAAAAATGGTCACTTTTTTCAGTGCTGCTGTAACTTTGAATGGTCACAAAATGAATCATTGTAAGTTGAGGACTACCTGTATCTGCAAGGCTTCCTCCTAGGAAAATGGGTGAAATTACTCCAACCCCGTGTGTCATGCCCCTGTTGGAATCTAACTCGAAGGAGGAAGCTGAACAGCTGACAGAGTGGGAGTGTGGCTCCATTGGCTGTGGAGGAAACTGGGGAAGGGCAAAGTCCAGGTGGGCAGAGCAGGGGAGAGGTAGAACAAGGGAGAGGGAGTTCAGAGGAAGACCCAGGCCCACCCCTTCTTCACCCTAGGGCATGCAGCGAGGAACGGAGAAGGGAGCAACATGGGTTGCATGGCTTACGGGGGAGGAAAGGGCCCTGATTCCCTTCATTAGCTGCAGCTGGGAACACAGTGTATAAAAAAGGCAAGCTGCTGTTGGGAGCAAACGTGACTTTATCTTGTATTGTCGAGGCTTATCTGTGTTCCTGGCGTCTTCCCAACTGTGTGAGTTTTGCCGTCCTTTCCAGTCTGGAATTCTTGCTCCTGCCCTGCCAAACTAATTACTTCAGTTTGGCTTGTTTGGACTTTAAGTTATAATTTGTGTTTACCCTGTTTTGGACTTCATTTTCTGCAGTCAAAGGCTGTTCCTGGGAGAGTTTTTCTCCAGCCAGAAACTAACCTGGACATTGGGGGCCAAATTGGAGATAATAAAGGGACTCTTATTAGGTATCTGACTGTGTTGCTTTTGTGCCACGCCCCGGGTCATCACACCATGTTTTGAACTGTAAAATCGCTCAGTCCTGCCCTGTAACCTGTGTGCCTTCTTCCCATTGCTCATCCTAGTGAAACTGAGTCCACCAGTATTGAACGTGGTTGTACCCCAAAGCCACTGCCTCCAACCACAATGGAACCAGCCTGGGGACGAGCTGATATCGGCAACGGAGGCCCAGTACGAGATCCGGTACTGTGACCTGATGGAGCTCTCTTGCCTGCAGGTAGGTGCCAAGCTTTTTCAGTGCCAAATGGGTTGCAGGTGCTCCTTGACTTATGACCACAATTGAGCCCTGAATTTCCATTACTGAGACAGTTGTTTAAGTGAGTTTTCCCCCATTTTATAAACTTTCTTGCCACAGTTGTTAAGCATTGAATTGTTAAGTATTTAGTTGTTAAGTATTTAGTTGTTACTTATTTAGTATCCTATGACTATTACTAAGTGTTGTATCTTATGATTCTTGATGAATGTATTTTTTTATGTACACTGAGAGCTTATGCACCGAAGACAAAGTCCTTGTGTGTCCAATCACACTTGGCCAATAAAGAATTCTATTCTATTCTATTCTATTCTATTCTATTCTATTCTATTCTATTCTATTCTATTCTATTCTATTTTCTATTCTATTCTATTCTATTTTCTATTCTATTTTCTATTCTATTCTATAATTCTATTCTATTCTATGTTTCTATTTCTTTTCTAGTCTATTCTATTTGCTATTCTATTTGCTATTCTATTTGCTATTCTATTTGCTATTCTATTCTACGTTCTTCTCTTCTCTATTCTATTCTATTCTTTAGGTCAGTTTACACTGGCAGGTCTAACTTTAATCTTTCAGAAATATGAGGTCAAACACTTAACCTGCCTGCAAATTCTATCACTGCCTGGATTGGTTCTGCAACCCAACAAGACAGACCCAGACTCCAGAGGATAATTAGGACTGCAGAAAAAACAATTGCTACCAACCTGCCTTCCATGGAGGACCTGTATTCTGCACGAGTCAAAAAAGAGGGCTGTGAAAATATCTACAGACCCCTCACATCCCGGACATAAATTGTTTCATCCCCTCAAAACGAGGCTATTGAGCACTGCACACCAGAACAACTAGACACAAGGACAAGTTTTTTCCCCAAAAGCCATCACTCTGCCAAACAACTAATTCCCTCAACACTGTCCAACTATTTACAAAGTCTGCACTACTATTACTATTAACCTTCTCATCACTCCTTATCACCCATCCCCTCCCATTTGTGACTGTATGACTGTAACTTTGTCGTTGTATCCTTACGAACTATATTGACTTTTCCTAGTATGATTTGATTGCTTATTGTACCCTATGACTATTATTAAGTGTTGTACCTGATGATTCTTGACTCTTGACGAATGTATCTTTTATTTTATGGACACTGAGAGCATTTGCACCAAGACAAATTCCTTGTGTGTCTTATCACACTTGGCCAATAAAGCATTCATTCATTCATTCATTCATTCATTCCTTCATTCATTCCTTCACTTATTCATTCACAGGTAAATTTTACAACCCTGGAGAATGCTCCCCTTTCTGCAAACATCTGTGGGCTGTTCCCCTTTACCAACTACTCTTTGCAAGTCCGGGCAAAATATCTGCAGAGTTCTGCTTTCCAAAGTGATGGTGATGCCTTTTGGAGCAACTGGAGCTTGGAGACATTTGCAAGGACCCTTCCAGCAGGTATGGGAATTTGGCTGTTTTTAGTTGAGGTGATTGTGTTACACGTTATTGTCTTTCAAGAGGCTGGGATTTCATGCAGTGGAACCTTATCCATTTTTTCTTCAACTCATCAAGCACTTCAAAGTATGCCCAGAATGGACAACACCAAAAATTTAGACTTGGAGGGTTTGTTTGTTTGTTTGTTTAAAAAAGAAGGGTTAGCTGTATTTTAAGTGATTTACAATACAGGTTTAAGCTCTTAAAGTCCTCTGGATTCAGCCCTTTCCTAAATTTGGGCTGATTTTTTTTCTCTCTGAGATAATTAAATGCCAAAAAGTCTGCAAAGCTTAAGGCGTCAGAATAATAGAATAACAGAGTTCGAAGGGACTTTGGAGGTCTTCTAGTCCAACCCCCTGCCTAGGCAGGAAAACCTATACCACTTCTGACAAATGGTTGTCAGAATCTCTTCTTTAAAACCTCCAGTGTTAAAGCACCCATAACTTCTGGAGGCAGGTCGTTCCACTGGTTAATTGTTTTAAGTGTCAAGGAATTCCTCCTTAATTCCAGGTTGCTTCTCTCCTTGATTAGTTTCCACCCATTGTTTCTTGTCCTGACTTTCAGGTGCTTTGGAGAATAGCTTGACTCCCTCTTCTTTGGGGCAGCCCCTGAGATATTGGAACACTGCTATCATGTCACTCCTGGTCCTTCTTTTCATTAAACCCAATTCCAACAACTGCCCTTAATATATTTCATATATATTTATATATATATATTTATATGCTTCATTCTGGGGGCCAAGTTGGGCAGATGGAACGTCAAAGAAGGCCTTTCTCCTGGACTCCAACAGGTGGGATTCCCTGGTCTATGGGGCCCCACAGCATGCCTCCTTTGCCGGCACATGTGGGGTGGGCAAGAATAACAGAATAAGAGAGTCGGAAGGGACCTTGGAGGTCTTCTAGTCCAACCCCCCGCTGAAAAGCAGGAAAACCCTATACCATTCCAGACAAATGGCTGTCCAATCTCTTCTCAAAAACCTCCAGGGACGGAGCACCCGCAATGTCTGGTGGCAAACCCGTTCCACTGATGAATTCTTCTCTGAAAATGCTCCCGCTTAGAATGCTGAATGAATTGTTCTCGCTCGTTCCAGCGATTTCATTGAGAGCTTCAAGAAGCTCTTCGCTTTTCCTAGAATGTGGCGCACCGCGGTGGCCGCTGGCATCAAGAACGACCCAATCTGGATGCACAGTCATGTCCGTAAATGCGGGGAGTGAAATCAGCACCTTGGAGAGCTCCGCCGGAGCATTTGCATTCATTAGGCAGTGCAACAAGATGTTGTCTCAAGCAAGGAACTTCAAATAGTCCTCAACTTACGACCACAGTTGGGACCAGATTTTTCCATTGCTAAGCAAGGCAGTTGTTAAAGGAGTCAACCCTGATTTTATTGACTTTTTGGCCCGTGTTTTTAGGCAAATCCCTGCATTTTTTTAAATGAATAGTGCTGTCGTTTAATGAACCCAACTCACTCTATTGAGTTTGCTTGCCAGAGGATGGCTGAGAAAATCAGAAGAACTGAGTTGGAAGGGACCTTGGAGGTCTTCTAGTCCAACCCCCCCTGCTCAAGCAGGAGGCCCTATGCCATTTCAGACAAATGATTATCCAATCTCTTCTTAAAGACCCCCCCGTGACGGAGCATCCGCAACTTCCTGTGTCAAGCTGTTCCACTGGTTCATGAATTAATTCTTACTGTCACTGATCGCATGACCTGGATCACAGCAACCATCATAAATATATGCTGTTGCCAAGTGCCTGAATTTTGACCACGGGGATTGTAGAGATGCCACAAGGGGTCTTAAAGGCAAGCACCAGTTGTAAGTCGCTTTTCCCCGTGCCTTTGCACAGTGGTGGTATGCTACCGGTTTGTACCGGTTCAGCAGAACGGGTAGTAAAAAAGCCAACGATCAGCTGAGCGGAGGAAAAAAAATCTTCAATAATCAGCCGAGAGGAAAAAGAAGAGAAAGCACAGGGTCGGCCCTTCCACCGACCCCTGGGTTTTTCTCTTCTCTATCCCCTCAGATGATTGGCACTGCAGGTCTCAGCTAGCGTGGGGAAAACTGTGCCCCGGCATTAGCACCCCCACCAAGCCACGTCCACCGAACGGGTGGTAAAATCATTTGAATCCCACCACTGTATCTTTGAAGAGTCACTGACTGAATGGTCATAAGTTGAGGACTATCTGTAAGACCTTATGAAGACAAGATATATACTGCTCTAGGAATCCTAGAGAAAACTGGCTATTTATTTTTTTATTTTTTGCAAGCCACCATCGCTGATTGTATTAGAAGATGTGTATATAAATTGTCCTATCTTAAAGCCTTTTGTAGGAGGAGGGGTGGAGTCAAAAGAGGAACCAGCCTAGAATCCTTACATAGCCATAACTGAATTAAGTCCAATGGTGAATTCCATTGATTGTATTCAGCACCAAAAATAGTGCTATTAGTTATGTAGATTCCTGTGTATCGGCACAGGAATCAGTTTAACTAGAACTTCAGGTGTATCCTTCCTGGTCTTTGTCCTTACGGAATATGGTTTTTTCCACTCCGTACAAAAATACCAACTTGCATTCATGATGGAGATGTTCACAGGCACAAGTTCTAGAGATGTCTCAAACCTGGCAATTGATTTGCTCCTTTCTCCTTCTTCTCCTTCTTCTTCTTGCTCTGCTTCTTCTTCTACCTGGCAAGTGCCTTCCCGAGGGCCAGCATTCTGGAGGAAACTAGGAAACCCCACTGCTGACAAAAAGAGGGCGGTTGTCTTGATGTGGAAGGTAGGAGAAAATACCAAGCTGTAGCAGACGGACTGGCAGAAACTGGGGGAAGAGTGAAAAAAGGGCTTAGCCTAGAAACCCTAACGGACTAAGCCCAACCCCCTGTGGTGGTCCCACTCACCCACACGTCAGTCTGTTCCCCTCAAACCTGTTTTATTTCAGGTTTTCAGCTAACCCCCAGCTGCAAGCTTAGCACAGCAATTGGCTCACCACCAAGTAGATAACCAAAAGCAAAACAAACTTACAGCCAAACCAAAAAACACTCTCGGAAATAAAAGGTTTTGCCTGGTAGGTTCCAGTGGTGGGATTCGAACACCTTAACAACCGGTTCTCTGGCTGGGTAGGCATGGCTGGTTGGGGTCATGTGACCGGGTGAGTGATGTCACTCATCACACCCAGCCCCGCCTCCCAGCCACTCGCCTCAAAGACAGAATTAGGATTCAGCCAATTGGGGCTAGTCCTACCACTGGATGGCCCCGCCCCCACTTGTTTTTTGGCCTGTTTATTGGGCTTGTTTTCAAGGCGTTTTCTGGACCATTTTCAGGGCATTTTGGGGCCCTATTTGCACAGTTTGGCGAACTGACAAATCCCACCCCTGACTGGCCCCACTCATTGTTTCGGCTGGTTTTGGGGGGCTGGTTTTTCAGCTGGTTTTGGCCCCCCTCATTGTTTCGGCTGGTTTTAGGCCGTTTTCTGCACCATTTTTGTGCAGTTAAGCGAACCGGCAAATCCCGCCACTGGCTGGCCCCGCCCCCGCTCCTTTTTCAGCCTGTTTTGGGGGCTGTTTTGGGCCAGAAAAGCAGCCCAAAGCAGCCCCCCAAAACAGGCCAAAAATGTAGCTAGTTCACCGAACTGCACATAATCTTAACTACCGGTTCGCCTGAACCAGTGCAAATCGGCAGCAGCCCACCTCTGGTAGTTTCCAAAAATAAACAGCCCAAATCCCCTCCGAGGTCTGCCTCCACTGAGGTTCGTCAACCAGTTGGGTGGTCCAGTTTGGGGGCTTGCAAGGAGAAGCCACGCGAATTTGTCCAAGCCAGGAGTTCAGGGCGTCATGTCCAGTGAAGCCAGCCACAAACAAGCTCCAGACTAACCTTCCAGGCAGTGGCCAATTAGTCCACCTGACAGATAACTGGCTGCTCCAAACACAAATATAATCCCTCTCCACAATGGAATTAATTCCACCAGCTGCAGAGTCCCAGAAACCCAAACAACCATCTGGCCACGACCCACCCATGCTGCTTCCAGCAACGCCTCCCTCTGCTTGCCCTGCTAAATAGCCCCTCCCAGTGCAGCCCATTAAGGGGGCGGGGCCTTTCCCCGATCAATCTGGCAGATCTCCCCCTTTCTTCCCTACATCCTCTAGCATCTACCAAGGTTGGTAGCTCCTCCCCCTCTTCCTCATTGGCCTGTGAGCTCTTCCCAAGTCAAGGCATGTTCTGCTGGCAGTTTAGAGTCAGCAATACCGGACTTGCCAGGAATTAGTTAGTTTACTTTATTGTCACTACACCTCGTACACAGAAGTTAAATGCCATCTTCAGTGCACGTTATACATAAAAAAATGAAACGAACACACACAACCTTCACATTCTATACATTGAATTGAAAACCCCTGATATTGCATTAATATTGCACTATACAGTAGAATTTACTATAGTTCCTGCCCTGGGATAGAAGCTGCTTTTCAGCCTATTTCTCCTTGTTTTTATTATCCGGTACCGTCTGCCAGATGGTAATAGTTCAAAAAAAAAATGGTGCCCAGGATAAGATGGATCTTTGAGAATGTTTTGAACTTTCTTAAGGCAGCGGGAGCTATAAACGAGTGGGATTCAGCCGATTCGGGCCAGTTCGGCAAACCGAATGTTAATTTTACATCCAGTGGGGTGAACTGGTAGTTCCAACAATCATCTGGCCCCGCCCACCCCACCCGGCCCCTCCCACAAGGCCCGTCTGGCTCCCAGGTAAGTGTAGGGCGGCCTCCTGGAGTAAAAATAGGGCACAGGCTGGTTGGCTCAGGAATTCTGGGAGTTGTAGTCCACAAGCCATCAAAGGGACCATTGTTCCTCATCCCCACACTAGAATTCGCTGCTGTTGTTCTAAGCTGCACTTCGCTCATTGCTTGAGTCCCAGTCAAGCCTATTAAACCAACATTCATTGTTTGCTGGTCTCGGTCCAAAAAATAGCTTTCACGGCATTATTTTCCAAAGATTGTGTGATCTGCATTGTATTATCTTAATCTGGAAGAAGTGGAGCAAAATCTTAATTGTTCTCTTTGGCTCTGTTGGTCCCTGGCTGCTGTTTGAATTCTCTACCCCTCGGTGAATAAATATGCTCCTAATTATATTTGTTGTGCTGAGCGTATTTTCTTGCGGCTTGCACTGTGACATCTCTCTCGATGTCTTATTTGCTTTTTATATAACTATTTCCAACCGGTACATTTCGTCTTCAACATACAACTATTCTGACCCAGGCTTTGTCAAACATATTTAAACACAAACTTGTTTTAAAAGCAAAGCCTATTTTATTGCAACGCTGGGAATTACGTGCCTTCCCAGACAGAACTAATTATTTATAGTTCCCCAAGATAAGCACACGCCTGTCAGTGCTGTGGAATGCTGCCAAAAACAGAAGTATCCAATTATAACTGAAACCAACTGAAATACCAGAAAAAAACAACCAGAATACACAGAGCTTCAAGGAGGACTTGGAATCTATTGAACTACTTTGCTTCCTGCAAAGCTTTTGTCATTGAGGTCTGACTTTTATCCCTTATGGGAGGGGCAATCACTTCCCAGCCTTACTCCCGAGTCGCCCCTTTTGTTTCAGCTGCTCTCGCCTTCTAGCAGCTCTGCGCATGCACGCACTGGGAACAGGCTCCGCTTGTTCCTCTGCCTCGCTGCTGCTAGACTCCGAAGGCTTCAAAGTCAGCACCCCACTCCCAGATGGTCCTGGCCCCATCCCTGCCTTGGACGCAGGACCCTCGTCCAAGTCCTCTCCAGACCCCTGGACTGATCTCCTTTCTTCCTCACTGTCCGACTCCGCTGCCATTTGCACTGGCTGCCAGCGAACCACCACAACAACGTTCATTTAGCGACCGTTCGAAAATTACAGCCACACTGAAAAATGTGACTTATGGCTGATCTTTGCATTTATGACCATCGCAGCCACCCAATGATGATCAAAATTTGGGCACTTGGCAGCCAGCATGTACAGGTCATCTTTGACTTACGACCACAATGGAGCCCAACATCTCTGTTGTTAACTGAGGCATTTGTTCAGGGAGTTTCACCTCATTTTACGACATTCCCTGTCACGGTTGTTCGGTGAACCATTGAAGTTGTTCAATTAGTAGCCCGGTTGTTAAGTGAATCTGGCTTCCCCGTTGTTGGGAGGTCGCAAAAGGGGATCATGTGACCCTGGGACACTGCAACTGTCATAAATATGAACCAGTGGCCAAGCATCTGAATTTTGATTATGTGACCCTGGGGACGCTGCAAAGGTCATAATTGTGAGAAAACGGTCCTAAGTCACTTTTTTCAGTGCTGTTGTAACATTGAACAGACGCTAAGTGAACTGCTGTAAGTTGAGGACTACCTGTATTTACTATGGTTGCAGGATCCCGGAGTCATGTGATCACCATTCATGACCTTCCCAGCCAGCTTCCAACTAGTCAATGGGGGTGGGGGAAGGTGGATTCGCTTAACGACGGTATGATTTACGTAACAACTGAAGTGATTCACTTAACCACCATGGCAAATAGCACTAGCAAGAGCACTTATAGACCGCTTCACAGTGCTTTACAGCCCCTCTCTAAGAGGTTTACAGAGCCAGGCTCTTGCCCCCATACAATCTGGGTCCTCATTTTACCTACTTCGGATGGATGGAAGGATGAGTCAATCTTGAGCCAGTCAGGATTGAACTCCTGGCAGTGGGCAGAGTTAGGCTGCAATTCTGCATTCTAACTACTGCGCCATCAGGACTCTTGAGAGAGAGAGAGAGAGATTGTAGATAGACAGAAGGTCTCATCAGATTCAGCCCATGGGCCTTGAGTTTGACACCCCTGATCTAAGATATGCAAACAGGTGTTTCTTCTTGCGTAGGTTTCCTTAGTGGTGGACATTTGTGTAGCAGGACATTACCTTTTCCTTTGTCATTCCTTATCCTAGTCTTCTTCTCTCCCTGAAAGCTGACCACAGGCCTCGTCTTTTCATTTATCCTGCTAGCCCTTGAAGCCCAAGGAAGCCAACGGTGAGATTTTGGGGTACAGCCTCCTCTCTCAGAGGAAAGGGGAGCTCACGGCGCCCGAATGCATCACTCACCACCTGCGGTGTCGGCTGGTCCTCCCGGCCGGCGAAGAATTCGCCTTTTATCTCACCGCCAAAAACAGAGTTGGCATCTCACCTCCAACCAAGCTGGTGATTCCAGCCTTCCCTAACCCAGAAGGTAAGATTTGCAACAGTTGTTATATTTAAAAAAATAAATAAATATTTGCTTAAATGTTTTGGCCCCTTTTTTGTGGGTTGTAAAAATTGGAAAAGAAGTTTCTGCAAACTACAGTATATTTGGGGAGGAAGGGAAATTGGGTTGGTCTGTCATGTTCTTTCCTTGATCAACATGAGAAGCAGAATGTCTATGGAGATTCTCAGTCCTCCAGGTCACGGTTGTTGTCCCCAAAGTGCTTTTTCAAGAGGCAACCGGACTTTCTGTTGTTGTTTTTTTCTTTGAAGACATTTCGCTTCTCACCCAAGAAGCTTCTTCGGCTCTGACTGGATGGTGGGAAATGGAAGGATTTATACTCCTTGCAGACAGTTGATCATTTGCATCCTTTTAGAGGCGTCGTTGAGGCCACTTGGGGGTTTATCTGTGTCCTCAGGGTCACCTGAGTAATGCAAACGGGTGTGGAGCTTTCTTGGCTACAGGATGTTTTCTGGCCTGGGTCCCTTCCCTGACGCAGGCTGCTGGGGATAAGTCTATGTTGGCTGAAGCACAAAGTTTAGATAAACCTCCAAGTAGCCTCAGGGACTCCCTCAAAAGGATGCAAATGACCAGCTATGTCTGCAAGGAGTATAAACCCTTCCATTCCCCACCATCCAGTCAGAGCTGAAGAAGCTTCTTGGGTGAGAAGCGAAACGTCTTCAAAAGAAAAACCCAGAAAGTCCAGTTTCCTGAAAAAAGCACCTTTCAGATATGAGAAGCAGAAATCAACATTAAAATGACATAAAATCAATGTTTTTCAACCTTGGCAACTTTAAGATCCCAAAATTATTCCCCAGCCAACATGTTGAGGTCCAACGCACCATAAAGTTGCCAAGGTCGAGAAACGCTATACATTGCCTCTTTTTTTTTGCCTCTAGTCCCGCCTTCCCCCCTGTCCATCCTCGTGTCCTCAGCAGGGGACCACTCCCTCCTCTTACAGTGGTCTCTTCCCAGCACCCCAAGGATGGACTTTGTTCTGGAATGGAAAAAACTGCCCGAGGAGGAAGAGGAAGACCCACACTGGCAGTATGAGAATGTCAACCACGCTGTCATTACTGGTGAGTGTGATTGATCGTGGTGATGATGGAGAGAAGAGAGGAAAAGAGAGAGGAAGGAAAGTTGTTTAAAGCAACCAGTGGCATAGCAAGAGAAAGGGGGAGGGAGGCAGGGAGGGAGGATGGGAGAGAGGAGGAAGGAGATGGAGGAAGAGGAGGAAAGAGAGGGAGGGAAGAGGAGAGGGGAGGGAGGAAGAAGAGGGAGAGAAGGAGATAGGAAAGAAGGGAGGGAGGGAAGGAAGGAAGGAAAGGTAGGTGAGAGAAGGGAGGGAGGGAGGGAGAGTGGAAGAGGGAGGGAAGGAAGGAAGGAAAGGTAGGTGAGAGAAGGGAGGGATGGAGGGAGGGAAGGAAGGAAGGAAAGGTAGGTGAGAGAAGGGAGGGATGGAGGGAGAGTGGAAGGAGACTGGGAAGTAGGAAAGAAGGAAGGAGGGAAGAAAGGAAGGAAGACAGGGAGAGGGCAGGGAGGGAGGAAGGAAGGAGGGAGGAAAGGAAAGGAAAGGAAAGGAAGGAAGGAAGGAAGGAAGGAAGGAAGGAAAGAAGAAGGAAGGAAGGAAGGAAGGAAGGAAGGAAGGAAGGAAGGAAGGAAGGAAGGAAGGAAGGAAGGAAGGAAGGAAAGCAGGGAGGGGGGGACGGAGGAAGGGAGGAAGGAAAGGCATAAGAGAAAAGAGGAAGTTCAAAGAGAAAAGGGGGATCGGGGAAATATCAGAGAGCGAGAGAAAGGCCACAAAGAAAGACAGAAGAGAGAAAAAGGAGGGTGAAAGAAACAAACACATAAGAGAGAAGATGGGCTAGAAAGAAGGGATCGGGCGTGATCCCAGAGGGTTTTTTGGCTCTGTCAGCTATTGGCCAGGGCCCTTTTGGTGAGGGGGAAGCAGCTGCCGTTTGGATGTTTTTGCTGCAGCGGCTTGCCCAGGGCGGTGCTCAAGGTCGCGGTGACCTTCTTCTTCGCAAGCCTCCTGTCATGAAGAGGAAATAGGAATGCACGTCCGGGCAGCTGCCTTGCCTGCCTTGCCAGACTGAAGTAGACCTCCTCCAGCAGCAGGAGCGACAACGACAACCGCAACAACCACAACCCTTAGGGGTTTTGCACCCCCCGTCTTTCCCATGCAGTCAGGAAATTAATATCGATCCTCGGCTCCACGGCACAGAACCAGCCCTCGGCCTGAGAGGCTCTTCGGAATCACGCACCCACAAGGCCACCCTCCCTTGTGAAAATCAGCCCTGCCAGATCCTGCGGAGGGTGTGTGTGTGTGTCAATTGAAGGGAGATTTCCTGCAGACCCCAGGCAGAAACTTAAATCGGATTAACAGAGTTGGAAGGGACCTTGCAGGTCATCTAGTCCAACCCCCCTGCCTGAGCAGGAGATCCTCCCCTACACCATTTCTGAGTCCCCTTCCCCTGCCGTGCCCACCAAGCTACACCCGCCAAGCCACACGACGCCTACTAAGCCACGCCCACAGAACTGGGAGTAAAAAAAATAATTTGAATCCCACCACTGCTCCGGCCCCCTCATCGTCTTCACAAGGAACATCGCAACGAACTGCCAGATCAGAGCAAAACAGACAGGGGGATAGGATAAGAAAAAGCCAAACCGCAGGGCCGCAAATGTTTCCGTAATTGCTCATTTCTTCTTCTTCTTCTTCTTCCTCCTCCTCCTCCTCCTCCTCCTCCTCCTCCTCCACCTCCTCCAGAAGCCATCGAGCCTGGGAATCGTTATGCCGTGAAGATCTTTGGACTCTTAGATGGCCGTCTCAGAGCCTTTGGTTCGACTCACGCTTACTCCAAGCAAATCGGTAAGCGGAACCTGTGACGTCCTGAGGTTGATATTCCTGGATTTGGGGGCTGGCTGTTATTTAGTAAGAAAGTGCACAGTGGCCCCAGTGGCTAGAGGGCAGTACTGCAGTACTCCTTCTTCTGACTGCCGGCTGACTGCAAATTTGGCAGTTCGAATCCCACCAGGCTCCAGGTGGACTCCACCCTTCCGTCCTTCCGAGGGGGGTCAAATGAGGACCCGCATTGTTTGGGGGGAGGGGCAAGAGATGGGCTCTGTAAACCGCGTAGAGAAGGCTGTGTAAAAGCACTGTGAAGCGGTAGACAGGGGTGAGCTTCAAAAAAATTTAGCAACGGGTTCTCTGCGCAGTTGCTGGGTGGGTGTGGCCATGCGGGGCGTGGCCTACTGCACCACAGCGGGGGGGGGGGCATTTTTCCAGGCACCTGAGGTTTTCCTCAGGCCTCCAGGAGGGTGAAAAATGGCTTCCCCGGGCTGTGGAGGCTTTCTGGAAGCCGGAAACGGGCTTATTTCAACCTTCTCAAACTTCTGAAAGGCCCGTTGTTTGACCTCCCGGAGCCTCCATCCGTGCCCGGCACTTACCTGCATCCAAAATGGCTGCATGGGGGACTCGTGGGAGGGGTGGGGTAGGGTGGGGTGGGTGGGGCCAGCCAGGAGTGGGATTTGGGAGGGGGGGGTTCTCCAAACTGCACCGAATCTTAGCTAGGGGCTGTCCTGAACCCCTTGCGAGCCCCCAGCAGCCCAGCCCTGGCAGAATATAAGTCTAAGTGCTATTGCTATGGCTATTGCGCCACCCATACAGACAAAGGAAGCATCAGTTGGCTTGGAGTGACCTCAAATTATGGAGATGTACCTGTTATTGTTAGTTGCGAAGTCGTGTCCGACCCATCGCGACCCCATGGACAACGTTCCTCCAGGCCTTCTGGTCCTCTACCATCCTCTGGAGTCCATTTAAGCTCACGCTGACTGCTTCAGTGACTCCCTCCAGCCACCTCCTTCTCTGCCGTCTCCTTCTTCTTCTATTGTCCTCAATCGTTCCCAGCATGAGCCTCTTCTCCAGGGAGTCCTTCCTTCTCATTAGGTGGCCAAAGTCTTTGAGTTTCATCTTCAGGATCTGGCCTTCTAAAGAGCAGTCAGGGTTGATCTCCTCTGGGACTGACCGGTTGGATCGCCTTGCAGTCCAAGGGAACTACAGGGATAAATAAACCTTTTATTTGCTATCACATTGTGAAGCAGGGGTCTCCAAACTTGGCAAGGTTAAGACTGGTGGACTTCAACTCCCAGAATTCCCCAGCCAGCATGGAGTATCTCAGCTGCTGTGGGTATTTACTTTGGATTCGTTTTTTTTTTAGAGTTTTAAAATATTTTTAGTGTTTTCATTGTAATATATCAGCTGGCTGAGGAATGGGCTGGCAGAGGAATTCTGGGAGTTGAAGTCCACAAGTCTTAAGAGTTGCCAAGTTTGGACACACACACACACACATACACACATTCTCTCTGTTCTAAAGGAATGTGAGAATGTCCTTGAGAGGAAAGGGGGAACGACCAGATAAAAGGTGAAGGAGCCCGCAATTGTGTAACAGGCAGAGAAAGAAAGATGGAAAAGGTTCATCCTCAGACAATAAAAAGAGATGGTGGGGGATTTGTACTTTCAGACCTGTAAGATCGATCTCAGCCTCCTACGTAGACGAGGCAGGAAACACGAGAAGATTACATATTTTATTATAAAGCTACATTAACAGCATGCACTCGTTCCTTCATTCAATCCATTTCTATAGCCGGCCCATCTCAATCCATCACTCTGGGAAGCTTACGATTTCAAAAATAAAAAAGACACATTGCAGCGAAAAGACTAAATACATTTTAAAAATAAGAAAAACCAACCCCCCAAATAATTACATATAATAGCTGAGATCCTTGGCCACTTAGCAATAAAATCGGGAAACGGGGCACTTGACACATTCAGCACCGCAGGCTCAGTGCCAGGTTTTTAGGGCCTTACGAAAGGTCATTCTGATGTCTGGAGGGAGGATGCACCACCGCAGAAATGAAAGAAGTTTGCAAATCTGAAAGGGAAATCGTCTGCTGTCTCTTTTAACTACCTGATTCATTAGAGAGGACTTGCCTGTCTGTCTGCCTGCCTGCCTTTCTCTCTCTCCACCCTTCTCTCTAGCTATCTATTTATCTACCTACCTATCTACCTACCTACCTACCTGTCTATTTAAATACCTTATCCATACATCCACCTTGGAAAGCTGGAAAGGTTGGGGACCGCTGGTATAGGGTCTCCTGCTCGAACGGAGTGGGGGAGGGTTCAGTCTAGAAGACCTCCGAGGTCCCTTCTGTACTGTATATTCACTTTCTTCCTCTGGAATTGCAGCCCCTCCCTTCTGGGAATCCAGACTACATGCCACTACAGCAGCATCTCTCCCTCTGTCTTCCAAGGCCATGCTCAGGTCCTATTTCATATATGGACTTCTTCAATGAATAGGCTGCTGAGTCAGCAAGCAAGAAACATAAGGATTAAGGGCAGGGAGGGTGGGATTCTACCGGTTTGGGTCGTTCAGGCAAACCGGTAGTTCCGGGGATTATTTTGGCCCCGCCCCTGTCCTTTTCCTGAGCTTTATTTCCTTGATTTTTGAGCACGGCTGATTCGCGCGGCAGAGCGGTTTGCCGCGCACCAGCTGTTTTATTCACCAGGAATGCAGCAAAAGGCAAGTACTATAGCTACAAATTGTCTTTTCTAAATGCGACGCCGATGGTTACACCCGTTGAATTGCACCACCGATTTAAGGGTGAGGTGAGAGGGGGTGCGGCGGTATTTCCATTAAAAACCCTAAGTGTTTGGCATCCTATTCTTATACGCATCTGTTCCCTTTCGGTGTCGGGGTCTACTCGCTGATGCCCTAGATGTCTCCTTTCTATTTTCCAGCTCCACGTCGGGCCCCGGCTTTGTATCCCACTCAGGTCTGGAAATCTTGGGTGGAGCTGCAGTGGGAGAGGCTCCCCTTGGAAGAACAAGGTGGCGAGATCCAGAACTACACCCTCTACTACAAGGAAGAGAAGAAGGAGGCCTATCGTAAGGAGAATCCTTATGCTTCTCGGCAAAGGGTTAGGTTTGCTGAGAAAAGCTGGCTGGGGAATTCTGGGAGTTGAAGTCTTCCAGGCTGAAAGTGGCCAAGGTTGGAAAGCCTTGCCCTGCACCACAATGCTTTGTCCCGTGTCTCTCAAGGTCTTTCTCTCACGCACCCCACTTCTCGTCCAGCGCCTTCACGGCCGGACTGTCCTGAGCCTGCGGTTTATTCTTGAAACCTGCACGAATGAAACATTCTTGATAGTGTGACCCTAAGCACAGGCGCTCCTTGATTTACAACACTTCATTTAGTTATAACGGCACTGGAAAAAGTGACGTATGACGAGGGCTGGGCTGCTGGGGGTTTGCGGGGGTTTCGGGAGGGCCCCTAGCTAAGATTCTGGGCAGTTTGGAGAACCCCCAGAAATCCCACTCCTGGATGGCCTCACCCACCCCTCCCCTCCCAGGATTCCCCACACAGCCTGTTTTGGATGCAGGTAAGTGCAGGGCGTGTGTGGAGGCTCGGGGAGGGCGAAAAACGGGCCTCCTGGAAGTTCTGTGAGGCCGGAAATGGGCTTGTTTCCAGCTTCCAGAGAGCCTCTGGAGCCTGGGGCAAGGGTGGGATTCTACCAGTTCACACCTATTCGCTAGAACCAGTTGTTAACATTCTAAGCAGTTCAGAGAACCGGTTGTTAGAAGAAATTACTGGGCTAATCCTGTAAGGAAGGCAGGAAGGAAACATTCTGGTGTTGCTTACAGAAACTGCCTCTCCGTTAACCTTTATTACATTCTTGGCAGGACTAGACTTCCTGTCTCAGGAACTTCTCTGGAGCTTTTCCCCCCTCCTTTGCTGGTACTTTGCTTGTGTGGAGTGACCATTCAAAGTTACAATGGCACTGAAAAAAGTGACTTATGACCATTTTTCACACTTAACGACTGTTGCAGCATCCCCACAATCATGAGAGGAGAGGAGAGGCAAGGGACCAGGCAAGGAGATGCGTGCCTCGATGTGAGTGATGTTGAGTTGGCCACGCCCAGACAGTCACATGACCACCAAGCCACACCCACCAACTAAGCCACGCCCACAGAACCTGTTGTTAAAAAAAAATGAATCTCACCCCTGCCTGGGGGAGACCATTTTCACCTTTCCGGAGGCTCAAAGAAAGCCTCCGGAGCCCAGGGAGGGCAAAAACACCCCCACACACACACCGTAGTATAGGAGGCCAGCTAGGCCATGCCCACCATGACCACGCCCACCCAGGAACCTGGCAGAGAACCCTTTGCTGAATTTTTTTGAAGCCCACCCCTGCTTATGATCATTTTTTTTTATTCTTATGACCTTTGCAGCATCCCTGTGGTCACATGACCAAAATTCAGACACTTGGCAATGGTCTCACATTTATGACGGTTGCAGTGTCCCGGAATCATGTCATCATCCCCTTTTACAGCTTTCTGACAAGCGCAATCAAGCCAGGTACTTCAAAACTATACAACTAGCTTAACAGCTTGCAGCGATTTCACTTAACAAATGTGGCCAGAAAGGGGGCAAAAATGGGTCAAAGTTCACTTAAGGACTACCTCACTTAGCGACAGAAACTTTGAGCTCAATTGAGGTCGTAAGTCAAGGACTAGCTACATGCTTCCCATCAGCGTGTCCTTTGATTTAGCCAACAGAAACATGAACTGCTGATAAGATTTATACAGCAAGTGTCCTTTTTATAATCAGCTTCTGTTCCTATTTAAAAGTCATCATCATTTCTTGTAAAAATGGGGCGAAACTCACTGAACACCTGTCTCGCTTAGTAGCAGAAATTCTGGTCTCCGTTGTGGTCATAAGTCGAGGATCACCTGTGTCCTCGACTTACGACCACAATGAGCTTTGCAGGAGCCAAGGACAACGGAGTCTTTGCGACTGTGGGTCTGGCCTCTCCCTGCTTCTTCTTTTCCAGGGGCCGTGGTGCTGGACGGCTCAGTGCATCACTACGTCATCAACGGCTTGGCCCCCGGCTCAACTGTGAGGGTGTACATGGTGACGGCCAACGAAGGCGGGAGCACCAGAGGATCCTTGCTGTCCATCCGCACTAAGAACTATGGTGAGGGTTGAATGAAATAGATAGATAGATAGATAGATAGATAGATAGATAGATAGATAGATAGATAGATAGATAGATAGATTTATTGTCATTGTATGCAGAAACCTGAGAACAACGAAATAAGGTGCTCTTCCCACAACATACAACTGAACAACACCAAAAGACATATACAAATAACAATGTAAAACAAATTCAAACAAATAACAGTTAAAAACTGTACAACCAGGATATATATATATGTTAAGATCACCAGATTCATAACTCTGCATTTAACCTGATCACAGCACTTGGGTAAAAGCTATGTTTAAATCTACTTGAATGAAAGAATGAATGAATGAATGAATGTTTGAATGAATGAATGAATGATTGAATGAATGTTTGAATGAATGAATGATTGAATGTTTGAATGAATGA